AAAAGCAAATAATGACACTGCATTTGTCCAGAAACTAATTGTAATAATCAACTAATATAATATATAATCTAGTTTATATACAGCACTAATATTTTAAATATATAATAATACCGTGTACTTGTAGATTAAGTTTATGCAAATGTTTTTTTTTTTGAAAATTTCTTATATTTTTGTTAACAATTAGAATCGAATTAGACTTTTGAAAAAATACCTCAGCCAACTTCACCGAACACTCCACGTATTGAACTTGCTCTGAAAGTATTCCGAAAAAGAAAAAATAATTAGCAAAGTTAGGTGCTATACGTACGAACAGAGCCGAAAACTAACGAAGTAGTTACAATGCCGCATTTTTTTGTCTTCATAAAATTCAAAATGTCACTTTTACAATATTTAATATTAATTAACTATCTACTAAATATGTACTATATATAATTTCAATAAAATACTAATTTAATGAAATCCAATGCAAAAATGAGCAGCTCACAAAATAATTAGCAATAAATACTTCAAACTATTATTTTTTTGAAATTTGAAAAAATTGTTATTGTGAAATTGTTTACAACAATACTTGAAACAAAAATTTAATAATATTTTTAAACAATAATATTAGCACTATTGTCCACAAATATAATCACACATATTTATACATTTGAAGAGTGAATTTAGTGGTACTTTAATTTAATTCTAAGAATCCACACTTTAAATCTATTAGAAGCATTTATTGATAGAAATGCAAATTAAACAATTTTGATCATTAAACTTTAGTAAAACTTCACAGATTGCAAAATTTCCGAAAAAAAAGCTAAATCACAACTATTATTAATTGCTCTCACTTGCAGCAATTAAAAATTTCCACGGTAATATTTTCGCCCACTTGCACTTCCGAAGTTCAACCGCGAATTAACTAATAAGAAGGCGCGTTATTTTCTTACAAGAAATCTTACAAGCGAATCAAATGCATAAAAACCGCATGAAACGGAAATGAAAGTTCAATATAAAATCTAGATATGACTCTTTCAATATTTGAAAAAAATAACTAATTAACAAATATAATTAATATAGCATTAAATTATAACAAAATATAACAATTAATATTTGTTACAATAACACAACAAATACATATATATATATTATTTTATATATAATTTTTATAAAAATAATAAAATTAATAAAAATATTCAGCTTACCTTTAGTAATTTAGAAAGAAATTAAACTCAAACGTGTGTTATAACTTGACAAACGCAAAAGATTGAATGAGAACCTATATTCAATTGCAATAAAGGAATATACTCGATATTTCAAAAAATGGCATTACCAAACTTGACCTAAAATCTATACACAAAATATCACAATTGACATATAACAGATTTTATCAATTATACTGTGTGGAAGGTCCATATTTTGCCGCAAAGCAAAAGTATTATACATTATATAAATAATATTATCACAACACACATATATTATTTTTTAAAAATAAAAATTATTTTACTATATTCTTTTAAATAAACATTTCCTTTTGTTTAATTTAATTTATTGGTACTAGTCATAGGATAAAAATATTATTTTGGGCAAAGTTTTAAGTTACACGGTGGCATCAAACAGATTTTGGCTTTTAATAAGACTATAGTAATTAGTCAAGGTTGCTACACAACATTTATTTAAAGATATGCGAAATTTACAATAAATATATTTTTTAAGCCGTTAAGGCTGAATTTGTTGTACCGCAAGCAATCAGCTGATTCGTTCCACCTAATACTATATAGAGTATAACTACAAATTGCAAAAGAAAGATATTATCACCAAAATAAAAGAAAATAATAAATAATAAAAGAAAACAGAATATAATAAAACAATCAATATTTTACAAATATCCCGTATAAAATTAACAAAATTACGAAAAATGCGGTTACAACTCTTTAATAAAATGACAATACTTTTGACTTCTATTTCTTGATGAATTATTTCATAAATTGTGGCCTTTTTATAGTTCTTGCCGTCTAAAAATTTTACTATTTCTTCTTCCGCAAATACTTTAATAAAATACTTTTCCACTTTTTCAATCCAATTTTTGTTTTCCGTTTTTTTTTCATAGTTTTAGGTTTTCTTTTATCAACTGTGTTATTTGTAATAAAATTCAAATACCTATTGATAGTTAACAGCTGAAAATTCAAATCTTAAACTGCTTTTAAGAGGTCTGTTCCACGACCTTTACTCGTAGTACCTTTGAGTAACAATCTGTATACATAAGTGCGTTCCAACAGCAAATTTTCGAGTATATGAGAGCATCTGAGAGCATGTGAGAGAGCGTAACAACCTGTCGAAATTTGAAAATGCTACACAAAGTTTACTCGTACATTTTATTTCAAGTAAAATTTGAGTGATGTGTGAATCAGCTGATTTGGTTAGAATTTAAATTTTTGTGTTTCTTATTTGCGTGGCACTGGTGTGCTCACCAGATTTTACACAAACCTGTTTTATGAAAATCTGCATAATGAGCGAAATTTGGCACGCTCTCAGTTTGTGTTACGCTCTCGGTTTGTACTTTACATGTGTTTTACCTGAATTTTACTACGATTAGCTCGTGAAACAGACCTAAAATGTTTACGCAATGCTTAAAAGTGATGTTTCTTACTAAAAGTGATGATAAACTGCTTTTAGTAAGCTAAAAGTGCTTTTAAGTAGTTTTAAAATCGATTTTAAGAACCTTAAAACAAATTTTAAGGTTCGCGTAAACGTGATGATCGAGTTAAATATAATGGAATTGTTAACACAATAAGTAATTTCCTTATTTGAAATTACATCCTCATTGATTTGATGTTTTCTTGAAAAGCGAAACAGTCTTGCCGAAGTACACATAGCTGTAAAGGTTAGAACCAATTGAACATTAAATTAATTGTGTTCAATGGAATAAGCTGACACGTTCTTATATGGCGCTTACATTGGCCGAAAATGGCTCATTTTGAATGAGCCATTTAAAAGTGTTTACATTCGTTATAATTCGTTTGTTCTCATTTCAAACAGCTGATTTTTCAACTTGCTTGTTGATTTGATTTTTGGCCTGTGCCAAAAAAATATTGCATCAAGGTTAAATATACTTTCAAACTTGTAGGGTTAAACATATTTAAAACATATTTTTAACTTTTATTAATTACCTTTTGGGAAGTAGAAGTTCTAAAAAGAGGTACATCGTTTTCAAGAAAATTCAACCACCAAACATTTGTTTTCCTTTTTTTGTAAATATGTCAAAAACAGCT